ATATTTACATATAAATATATACATATATATATATATATATACATATATACATATATATATAAATATAAGAAGAGGACGTTATATTGTATGTGTACAGAAGAAGTACATACCTTGTTAACACACGTGTAGAGAAATTGGTCTATTTGGCTGATGGAGAGGCGCTTGACACTGTTAATGGCGTCCATGAGGATGAATTGGTCTGGGCTCAACTCTGATGTATAAAGGAGCACATGGGGAGGATTAGTATACACATTGATGAGAGTTTAGTATATAAATAGATGAGAGTTTAGTATATAAATAGATGAGAGTTTAGTATGTAAATAGATGAGAGCTTAGTATGTAAATAGATGAGAGTTTAGTATATAAATAGATGAGAGTTAAGTATATAACTGGATGAGTGTTAAGTATATAAATAGATGAGAGGCCACATAGATTGAGCCCACGCAATAGTGTGGTGCGCTCGGTCGATAGAGTAGAAATTTAGAAACAAAAAGTCGAACAGAAAAGTTGGATATAAAATCCGAATCAGGGTGTTAAAAATGGGTCAGATGACAACTTTTAAGACACCCCCAGCCACAGTACACGACCGTTGTAATGCGCTGCACAGCCCCGAAGCTGACTTCCATCGGCCAAACTTATTTGAAAAAAAAAACAGATATCGTCACAAATACTAAAATATTTCTATTATTTATAAAGACTGTGCTCTATCATTTGCTGATGTGGGCTCAATGTATGAACGTGCTTCGACCATCGTGCCTGGCTGTAGGCATCACACAACTGGTGTAGCAGCCCCGTAAGGGATACACACAGACACTGAAGTGTGCACGTTGGTTGTAAAGCACTCTGTGTGGAGATATATGATGCTTAGACAACAAAGATCGCAGAAGCATCCTCTACACACAGACACTGAAGTGTGTACGTTGGTTGTAAGGCACTCTTTGTGGAGATATACAACGCTTAGGCAACAAAGATCACATAAGCATCCCATGTGGAATATATTGCCATGCCATGTCATACTAAATGGGAGGTATTCATTGTGGAGTGGAGAATAGTACCCGTTACGCTGAAAGATTGTGTGCGTGTGCATGCAGTACATGCAGCCGTGTGCAACCCGTTTGTAAAACAACCCTCGCTGACACTGTAGAACTACCCCCATCCGGGGACTAAATGGGACCGTTTCTGCCCTTTTTGACCCCCCCCCTCGATTGACAGGACACTAACCTGAATTGTCGTCGGCTGGCAGGCTGACGCTGGTTCGTAATTCTCTGATGCTCTCCACAAACCTACTCAGAAAGCCCCGCACTTCCGTACGGAATTTGGTTAAACACTGTGAGAAGGGATAGTCCTTGGCCAACTTCAGGCCGATGGAGCCCCTCACCACTTCTTCTCCTTCACTCAGATCCTACAAAGGTTTTGGAGAGACAAGTGTTATCGGGTTTTGGATCCAAAATAAAATAAAAAATATCGAATTTACCAGACAATTGGATCAAAAGACAACCCCCCCATTCCGGTGTTGACATGTGCTTGAACTGTGCCGTAGTGATATGTCGGGGATGAAAATATAGTGTCATTCTCCACAAAATGTGATCTATATAAAACATATCTCTGAAGACTTGAATAGACTATAAGTGACCGGTTGAATCTTGGAAATAAATTAGACACTTTCTAGCCATTTACTGACATCAACCCAAAACATGATGATCTGAAACACACAAGGTGAATTGTGAAACACTATAATTATATCATAGTATGTGTGCGTGTATATGTATATGTGTATTCATACGTATTTATACGTACATGTTCACGTATTTATAAGCAAGTAAATGTTTATGCCTACACCAATGCCGACATACAAACAGATCTCACTCTCTAGTACGGATATCTCTGGCACTGAGGATACTGCATAAATCCAATCCACCCATTTCATATCATTGGAACAACTCACGTGTACACAACCCCCGCATGTTGGTTGCCTTCCGTCAATGTATAAGCCCGTGCAAATACAATCAGTCGCTCGCACGAACAACTTCGTATCTATCCGTACACTACATGATCTCTACCGAATAAACACGAACATCCACATTCGTAAACCTTCAATACATACCTTATCACTTCCAGGCACAAACATCTTCTTATCCACGTACTGCATAATCTCATGCGGAGACAGAGACATACATAACATACCTTATCACTTCCAGGCACAAACATTTTCTTATCCACGTACTAAACAATCTCACGCGGAGACAGAGACATACATAACATACCTTATCACTTCCAGGCACAAACATCTTCTTATCCACGTACTGCATAATCTCATCCGGAGACAGAGACGGCTCCTCTGGTGATGGGTACATCGCCTGAACATTCATGAGCACGCGCTCAAACACCACCGGACCATCGTCGTCCTCCATCTGCAGTGTAGTACGATTGCAATGCGTAGATAAGCACTTCAGCACGCATTATATGTATGGTGTAATGCGTAGATAAGCACTTCAGCACGCACTATGTGTATGGTGTCGAGGAATTGGGTTGTGTGATGGATTGCAATGCGTAGATAGGCACTTCAGCACGCAATATGTGTATGGTGTCGAGGAATTGCGTTGTGCGATGGAGGTTAGTAGGGTCTCGGAGGTTGACCACGTATATGTGCGTTAGCATGTGCGATATAACACTTGTTGCTCGATGAATACATGGCCTGCACATTCAACAGCATACGTCGTTGCCCCTCTGCATTGCATTGTGTGGTATCCGTTTGCGGGACAGTCTGTTCCGAACACGAGTTCAGATGTACGGTACGTATGGTGTGGCGCAAAAAGCTAACCGAGTTAACATTGGACTCGCATTATTATATAATCATTGTGGTAACTAGAGTAAAGTAACGCTTTGGACATGATAAGGTACTGCCAATACATCCACCAGCACCCAATCAAACACCAATAAACCCTCATAGTCCATATTGTGTATGACATGATAAAAACACAATGATATACGGTGTCAATCCAGCAAGACAATATGTTCATATTGCATCTACATGATATATATATATATATATATATATATATATACATATATATATAAATATATATATACATATATATATAAATATATGTATAAATATATATATATATATACTGTATACGAAGTAGTGTTTTCTAACACCCTTATTCTGATGCTAGGCATATACCTGCTGTGGGTCTAGGCCATCGTCTCCGTATGTGAACTGAATGACTGCGCCATTGCAGGTGCGCACTGTGGCGTCGTAGTGAATGGACAGATCTTCCATAGCCTTCGTCACACTGCCGATGAGTAGGTAGGTAGGTAGCTAGCGCGTCAGTTGTGTGAGCAAGTAAAGTGTCGATTATGTGTCATAGTGAACGGTTAGATCTTCCACGGCCTTTTGTTAAACTGTAGAGTAGGGTAGGTAGAGTGTCAGAGCAAAGTGTCAAAAATGTGCCGGTGTGCCCAAGTGATTGGTCAGATGTTGCATGGGCTTCGTCCCATAAAGCAGGAGCTGGTCATCAGCGTGTGCAGGTAAAGCGCCAACTACGCGTTAGGATGTCGTAGTTGAACGGATATACACTCCAATACGTTCGCCACAACCCCAGTAGCATGATCAAATACGTTACAGTCCATTCCACAGAACAGCTTCGTCTCACGTGCCATTCCGTGGTGTTAATGGTAATGGCGCGCGTGACCACTGCACAGGCTGAGACTAAAGTGTACTCTAAATGCCCCTCGTAGTCTCAGAGAGAGAGAATACAAACACG